GCCTATGTCTTCCTGCTATCGGATCGTGAGCGGCGCCGCTCGATCTGCAGCCCACAGAAAGTCTCAAACCATTTTTTATTTACTCACCGAGGATCGTGGGTTGAATCCCTGAAACCACAGGGTTTTATTTGTAAATTTTCTGAACAAAATATTTTTCTCACTAAGAAAGGACTGCGGGTTGAACACTAAAAAACACAGGGACTTTTCTGCAAAACTGCCGCAACGATGAACGGGCAGAAGCGATAGCCGCTTTATTATTAGGTAAAGATAAATATCTTTTTTTGGTCACTTGCATAGATTTTTGAATCCGTTGTTGTTCGCTTCTAACTTTTACATATGTTGAACTTCAAATTTCTTGAATCGTGTCATTAATACCTCCGAGGCACACTATAAGCATTGTGTCAAGTTTGGCATTGGACAAGGTTCATGTAGCACCCAAGGAATCTCCGCTAGCTCCTGCATAATGACGATCCTAAGGTGTCACCTTCCCACGATATATAGAAGTGAAAAAATGCATGCCATGTGGTGAAGGGTCGATATCACAACACAAATAACCAAAATAATCTGCAACACAAACAATATATATACAACAACTCCAAGGAGTCAAATTTAACGAATGAATGGGTCATTAAACCAAAATACAACTCATACAACAAAAGCGGATATACCTTGACTGGTAAGAATACAATTGACTTAAGTAGACTTAAACAAAAGAAAAGGCGTCCATTTACCTACCAGATCATTGTCTATGGGATAACCAGTTAACGTCATCCATCAACATACCTGCTTCACGAATCGATGTCGGCTGGATGGCAGCCATCTAGGGAAAAAGAGTAAATTAAGCAAGGTGGGTACTCGGCTATACTCGCAAGACTTACACAGACCTAAAACTATTTATCCATTTGGTTTGAATGGAAGCAGTACTGTGGTTTAGCGTCACAAGGACTAAGCATTCTACAGAGACACGCTACAACTTGTGTCTATTAGAGATAAGAAGAGAGAGCACATACAAGTAAAGAGGCACAGTCTTTTAGGAGAGAACTTGCTACGCAATAAAAATTATGCTACACGATCACATCCAAGAACACTATGCAGATGATGTGTAAGGTCAAACTCTCCAACTAGTAGCAAAGGTAGTGAAGTTGGTGTGGTGCAACGATTCCCACAGCTAGGTCATACCTACTAGCGCGAGAATTTCTCTGACATGATCCGCCAATCAAGAGTCGAAGTAAACAACCAACATTGCAGCAGCTCCACCATAGAGAGAGGGCCACGTCAAGAAGGAAGAAAGGAGGCACCTCTCATGTACGGTGCTGGTCAGAGGACCGACACCCTCTCCATCACTGCCCCCATCCCTTTCTCCATCTCCAACACCATGTTGGCCTATAACTCGTCCCAAACCTCTATGTACTTCACCTCCATGTTTGAGTAATTTATCTAGTTCTTGGGGAATAAGATGAACTTTGGTTTGTACCATAACCGAATAACTTGGGCGATATGAAATCCTCTTTTACATGTTTATGTTAATAATCTTTCTGATGTTGGGTGAAGTCGATCATCCAACATATGCCTCTTTTGAAAGGAAAGTTATTACTGTTGACATGGAGTCTGGTTGAGGAGGTCGGTTAGTGACATGTCCTATCTCACTTCATCCTGGAGTTGGGAAGAACAGTGGTGCCGTATGTGATATGGGGCTGTCGCATGCATGTATGTGTCTATACCTGGCTCCACCCATAAAGAGAAACATGAGAAGTGGCTTAGGTATTCGCAGAATGTATGGATAGTGATGATTCTGGACACCCCGAGAACACCCTTATTACTCAAGCACTGCCCTTTTATTTTATTAGTTATTTTATTTATGTTTTTTTACCTTTGATTGGTTTTTTAGATAAAATCACCCTTATTATCCTTTTCACTAGCAACCGGCGAATAGATTATTTTCAGATTGTGAATGTAGCCGCGTGAGTGACGAGATAGCTGTTGGGTTGGTAGTTGCCTCTGCAATCGCCCCCCTGGATCAACATACTCTACTTACTACAAATTCCAATAGCTCTGTGCATTTCCAGACCATCAACCGGATCCTCATAGGCAAAAGGCGCGCAGAGCCCTCTAATCAAAAGAATCAGCCGGGCTAGAAAGGAAAGAATGGCAATTAATGCTCAAATGGTTTTCTGAAAACGTTCATAGTTTTTAATTTGTGTGAAATATTTAATGGAAGGACGAAATGAAAATGCAAAATTAAAATAAGAAAAATATTGTAATAATAACTATGAAACGAAACTAGGGAATTCGGGATCAGAGTAGGGACTTAGCGGGGCGCCACTCGGTAGATGCGGCTCATAAAGCACCAATCTTCCACGTGTCTTCTCCTATGGGCCGGCCCATCCAGCATCTTATTTTACTTTTGAAATTCACTCGGCTTTCCTTAATTTTTTCTTTAATGGTTTTTTCAAGCTTTTATTTGCTTCTTTTGTGTTTCCACTTCGCCTTTTTTTGTTTTTTATGGTTTTATGTTTCTTCTTCTTGTCCTTTACTCTTTTTTTCTACTCTATTCTTGTTTTCCCATTTTTTATTCTTTTTAAAGGAATTTTTTGGTAAACACGATGTTAACACTTTAAAAAACGATAAGGTCAATTTTAAAAATACGCGAACATTTTCTAAAAGTACATGATTTTTTAAACAAATACGAGAACATTTAAAAAATAAATGATCATTTTCTATATTAACATTTTTTTAAAAACAAGTGAATATGTAAATTTTTGAAAATACATGAATAATTTTAAAAATTGTGCGTCTAAAATTCAGTTTTTAATTACATTAACATTTCTAATTAAACAAATAATTATAATAAGAAAAAATTTACAATACACATACAACTTTTACAAGGATATGCCTCTTTATAATAACTTTGGATAATGGAGTAAGATCATGATAAGCTTGGAGAGCCAACGTTAAAACTCCGCCACTCATATGGAAATGAAGCCCAGAAGAAAATAGTTGCGGCGTAACCATCTTAGCAACGTGCCATATCTAAATCAGGATCTTGTGTAATTCGGTGATTTAAAAAAAACATGGGAACCGCGCGTTGGCCGGACTGAGATCGAGTGACTTGCCAAGTGAACAGTAAGGTAATTTTTTTAGGCAAACTCGCGGAAGCTTTATTAAACCGTCATAATGTTTACAGAAACGAACAAAAGCTCACCGGGGTGGCCTAACCAAACATGGCGGCCGGTCCCCAGCGTTAAAGCATGCTTCGCGAGGTTGTGAGCCTCGAAATTCGAGGTCCAGAATTTATGACTGAAAAAAAGTAAAAGACCTAGCTCGTTGTGTTATTTCTGTACCACCGCTCCATAAGACTCCGCCGTCCCCCCTTTGATCGCATCAACAACAGTCTTGCAATCTGACGCGACGAAGATTCACTGTTCATATATATATCCTCCTCTAACGCCAATGCTTCTCTGATGGCTAGGACCTCCAGAACCTCCGGGTCTTCGATGTTTTCTGAAGATGACAACCGAGGCACCCTTAAACACCTGAAATATCATGGTAGATCGCTCCCACAGCCCCAAAACGGCCAGCGTGTGAAACTGCCGCATCAACATTGATCTTCATGTGGTCATCCGAAGGTGGCTGCCATGTAGTTGGGCGTGGTAAAACTGATGCTGCCGCCCTCACCACAGTCTTCTTGAATTTGCTGCAAATCTGAGATATAACTCGTGATGAAAGCATGAGTAGAGAAAGGTGTTTTATAGATCCCTTCGTGTATATGGCCCAAAGTGTCACGATCATTGTGTTAAACTCAGCTTGTGGAAGAGATTCGCTCATCACGAACAGGCATTTCTTTGCTTGTTCTTCTCTCTGCATGCACATATGTTGGACAAGATCCTCCTTCGAAAGAGCCCACACACACCGGGAGTAGCTGCAGTCAATAATGAATGGCGCCAACTATCTTGAGCTCCACATAAAGCACACACATGTGATGAAGACATGTGCCGATGGTGCAGAACGTCATTGGTGGGAAGCGAGTGTTGCGCCAGCCTCCACGTGAATATCTTCAATTTTGATGGCACTTGCATATTCCAGATCGATGACCACACATTGTGTTCCACTACTCCATTAGACATCTCACCAGTGTCCTCTAGCCAAGCTTCTCTTCCCATCTTCATATTGTGAATTTTTTTGTAAGCCGAGCTGACAGAAAAACGTCTCTTGGAATCTCCCAACTATGCCCAGAAATCATCTACTTGCATAGTACATAGTGGTATCTTGAGAATCACCTCGGCATCTACCGACAGAAATATTTGTGTGACTAATTTCTCTCGCCATGCGGCCGCCGTTGGGTCAACCAGCTCTTGGACCAACTGCTGAGGGTCCGCCACCAACGATGAAACAAGCATCATTAAAACCCACCCTCGGGATCCAATTATGGCGCTAGATATTGGTAGTTAAACCATCCCTAATGCGCCTAATAACTCCATGGTGAAGAACATTCCTCCCATCTATAATGGCGCGTCAAACCTGAGATGGGTGTGACCCAAGATATGCTTTCATGAAAGATAATGTTGGGACATAAACAACTTTCAGTATGCGTGTATAAAGAGAATCAGACTCTTGTAGCAGCCTCCATGCCTGTCTTGAGAGTAAGGCAATGTTAAAAATTTCGAGATCACGAAAGGCTAAACCTCCCAGGTTCTTGGGTCTAGTCATGATGTTCCACGACACCCAACGCAGTTTCCTTTTACATTGTTTACTTCCCTATCAGAATTGACGGATTATGGAAGTTACACTCTCTTTGCAACGTCCAACCATCAAAGAGAAGAAAAATGCTCCTGCGCCGACTGGCCGACTCAGCGGCCCGGCCCAGCGGGGCCTTAAACCCCTTTACTACGCCCCCGAAAGATTCTCTCCTCGTCCTCATCCAAACCCCGACCGAATCCCCAACATCCCCCACCGCCGCAGATAAAAATCCAAATAATCGAAGCCCCGCCGTACTCTCGCCCATGGCGCTGCTGCAGCTGCATCCGCCGCCGCTGGCGGCGCTCGGTCGCTCCGTTCTCCCCTGCCGCCCGTTCCCCTCGGCGACCGCGACCGCCCGCCGCTCCCTCGCCTCGGTCGCCTTCTCGCTCCAGACCAACGTGCGCCTCCTCAAGCCCAACCGCCGCTCCCGGCGCTCCCGCTACCCCTACTACGACCTCGACGACGATGAAGAGGAAGAAGATGAGGAGTACGACGAGGACGACGAGAGCGAGGTGAGCTTCCCCAATACCAGTAATCATTGCCAAGTTGAGTAGGCCTTTGCTTCACTGCCAGTGCCTGGCTCTAGTCATGTGAGAGAAATGCGAACTGGGCTCTCACTTGGTTTTAAAATGTGCTCGTCGCAGGAGAATTTAATTGGACAATCGTATTGGTATAGAGCGTGATGTAATCTCTAGCTCAGTGTCTCGTGAAGATTTGGCATACCCTAGTCATCAAGGAAATACCTATTACCGTTTGTGCCTATTCTAGAATTTATACTTCCGGTATGCAGTTCGGAGGGAGTACAATTTGCATGTTTGATATGAATGCTTGTCTTCCCGTGCGTTCAGTTTTGGCTCTGTATCTCACATTACATCAGATCATTATAACCACATAATGTAGCACAGTTGATACTTTATCAGATTATAAGCACCGCATAATGTGGCACAGTTAATATTTTGTAGTGTAAGAACTTTGTCGAGGCTTCGTAAGGACTAGTGCCAACAAAGCATGAGCAATCAGCCATTTGGCAGGTCTTGTGTAGTTCTGTGTTTGGATATGAATTGCAATGGTCAGGATATCGGTAACTTGTACCATATCGGTCGGGTGCTGAGTAGGGATAAATAGGCGAATTTTCCAGTTAATCGCCTGATAAATAAATCAGTTAATTGGCTATTCGGTGACCCACCGAGTAGCGATTAACTGACCGAGATGCAGATTAACTGGCCGATATTTGGAACAATGATGAATTGTCAGTGCTGTTACCATTGTACCCTCCCGAGTCCTGACAAATGGTCTGAGATTTGCTAGGAGAGCTGGAACATATTGACCAAACTCTTCTAGCTCCTTTTAGTTTCGGTAACATCAGATGCTTCTGTGCTCACATGCAAACAATACATACTTAAAAAGGATATTGCGATACAACGTGTTCAATTGCCCCTTCATATATTAGTGACACATGACGCCATAGTGAATGCTCCCATGTTTTGCTATTTAAAAGGGTGTTATCATAATGAACAGTGGTCTATCTAAACCCAGTGTACAGAATTTCCTTGGAAGGTGTATGTCACATGTTGTGTTGACACACTGCTCATACTACATCATTAGATGCTGCGTTTGAATTATTATGCAGAATTTTGTCTAAAAAAATCACTTATGTTTATCTGCTCATAAAACAAATATTACAAACTCACTGTTCCAGTATATCTTACTCTATATTGCACTACTCTTTTCAGGACGATTTATCAGGTTTGGAGTATCCTGGTGTCCTTTATACAAACAACCCGCGTGCTCCGAACAAGAGAGCAGGTATACTTAAGCTATGTAAAATTTCTTAAAAACAATGGTACCTTGTATTGAAACCTGGCTCTATGCTTCAGGACGAAAAACACAACTGGTGAAAGAAAATTGGGAAGGAAGGCGGCCCAAAACTCGTGATAAACATGCTAGTCCAGGAAGGTCTAATTCCCTCCAGCCCAGGAGCAAAATAAACAGAACATTACTAAATCTTACAAGCATGAACAGTGAAGTAGAGGTAGATTTCTAAGATCAATTCAGTATGTGCATGTTTCTGGTCCATATTTCAGTATGTAAGGTACGTTGACTAACAAAGATTTGTTGTTGCAGTTGAAAAATGAAAGCATCTCTCGTATTCTGTTTGAAAAATTGCAAGAAGAATATGACTTTGATGATAAATGGTTACCGCTTATTGATTACCTGTGCTCATTTGGACTGAGGGAATCCCATTTTACTTACATTTATGAAAGACACATGGCTTGCTTGCAAATCAACCGGGCTTCTGCAGAAGAAAGGTTGGAGTTCCTTCTAAGTGTTGGTGTTAAAAGCAAGGATCTGAAGAGGATGCTGGTCAGACAGCCGCAAATCTTGGAATACACTCTCAGCAATCTGAAGTCTCATGTTGCTTTTCTGGCTGGCATTGGTGTTCCGGATGCACGTATGGGGCAAATTATTTCTTCTGCCCCTTCATTTTTATCTTACAGTATTGAGCAGTCCCTGAAGCCAACTATAAGCTATTTGATTGAGGAAGTGGGTATTGAGGAGAGGGATGTGGGAAAAGTGGTGCAGCTAAGCCCTCAGATTCTGGTGCAGCGAATTGATAATGCGTGGAAATCTCGATTTCTTTTTCTCTCAAAAGAACTAGGGGCTCCCAAAGATAGCATTGTCAAAATGGTCACAAAGCACCCACAGCTGCTTCATTACAGCATTGAGGAGGGCATCTTGCCTCGAATCAATTTCCTTAGAAGCATTGGCATGAGAAACTCTGATATTCTCAAAATATTGACAAGTCTTACTCAGGTATTACCATATGTCCATATACATGTTATCATTCCTCATCCTTATATCTTTGCTGTTGCTATTAAGTGTCTCTCGTGGTAAATGTATCCTGCCATGTTTTTCAGGTGCTATCTTTGTCGGTGGAGAAAAATCTCAAACCAAAGTATCTTTATTTGGTCAATGACCTTAAGAATGAGGCTCAATCCCTGACGAAGTACCCCATGTACTTGAGCTTGTCTCTTGAGCAGAGAATTCGTCCCCGTCACCGTTTTCTTGTTTCATTGAAGAAAGCTCCAAAAGGCCCATTTCCTCTTAGCTCCTTTGTGCTTACAGATGAGCGTTTTTGCCAGCGGTTGGCTGGGACGAGCTTAGAGAAGTACCATACATTTAGACAGAGCTTGCTGCTGACAGGTTTCGAAGATAAGACTGGAAGGAAACCATTGGCATCACGACGGTAGATAGTTTGAGGAACTTGACCATAGGCAAGAGGGTTGCTTCTGACTTCCGTGCCTGTCCTCACTGTAAGAAAGCTCCAGAGGGTCTATTTCATATTAACCTCCCTCGCGCCTGTGGACGAGCATTTTTGCCATCAATGAGCCTTTGACTAACTTAGAGAGAGAAGTAACATACATCGAGACAGAGCGTCTGTTGGCAGGTTTTGCCGAGAAGTCTGAAGGAAATTGTTAGCACCAAGGCAGTAGATGATTAATATTCAGCTGATAGGTTGCGTTTTAGACTATGAGCCTGTCCTTCCTCACTGTAAGATGACCATCTTACACAGCACTTTCCTTTTCTTTCTGTGTCTTCCGGTTGTTATTTTGCGTAGTTCTAATGATTGATCTACTATTTTCCAGGAAATGGCCTAGGTTGCTGGCCTGGTTACCCCTCTGTTCAGCTGTTGCCTTGTGAAACATCTTGTAGAGTCTTTCTGATAGCTCCGGATCAACTACAAATGGATGGTTCATCTGACAGAACAGCATCCACCGGAATAGCTGATCGAACATTCTGCTAACTGCTTAAAGAGTAGCTGCCTTGACTTCTACTTACGGTTAACCGCAACTTTCGAGCAACATATTAAGTCTAGCAAAACTGCAGCTTGACCATATAGCGTGCAACTTCTGTGTCAGACATATACGTCCTCCGTTCCCAAATATTTGTCTTTCTAGGCATTTCAAATGGACACAACATACGGATGCATGTAGACATATTTTAGAGTGTAGATTCACTCATTTTGTTCCGTATGTAGTCACTTGTTGAAATCTCTAGAAAAACAAATATTTGGGAACGGAGGGAGTAGTAGGCTATAGTAAATTTTCTTCAGGGTTGTAATGATAGAGATTATGCGGTTGAGATTTGCCTGTAATGGTACTAGTACTGTGCCTACGCCCTCCCTGTCTCTCACAGGGTTATGATGGGAATCACACTTTTAAAAACTATACCGTCGAGGGATCTCAGCAGGTGCAGTAGCGGAAGAAGAAAACGAGTGCAGCATTCGACGAGGGGCCACATGTACCAGAAAATGCTGGGGTCATGTGCTTCTGAGCGAATTTTTCCGTCAAGTTTCAATATTTCGTTACTAAGTTTAGGATGTATGAATCTGAAAAATTTCACGCAACAGCACGTGTGTATTTGCAGTAATGTAAAAGACAAGATATGTGTATTTCACACCTTTCCTTTTCTTTTCTTTATATAACGCAAATATATATGGAAAACGCTTGGCTTCTACCGGCGGATCGTACGTGAGCATCCGCAAGCTCATCCTTACGGCGCGTGTCTTAACCGAGCGGTCCTTTTTTTTCTTTCTTTCGGTCAACGTTATCGCTGCTGACTGTCCACTATGACGAGTTTTCACAGCATGGTCTTTGTTGCAAAAACTGCAACAAGACCTATGTTGCAGAAAAAATAAATTTGTAATGAGACCTCTGTTGCAAAATAAACTAAATTGCAACAACACATCTGTTGCAAAAAAATAAAATAAAACTGAAATAAGGCCTCCGTTGCAAAAAAAATATTGCAACATTATCCGTGTTGCAGAAATTCCCCGCAACACACCCTGTGTTGCAATGATAAAAAGTGACGCTCAATCGCTCAATCCATTAAAGCCGATGACTTGCGAGGCGGTGTATCTTATAAAAATATCCGTCGGCCGGGTAGCAGCACCTAACATATATTGGCAGTGGCGGACGCAGGGGGGTGGCCAGCCAGGGCCCGGGCCCTCCCCAACATCCTAATTTCCTTTGTATTATGCATATGAACAGTGAATTTTTTTTACTATTGCCTGCAGCCGGCCCTCCCCAACATCAGATTATACGCATCCCTGCCTCCGCCACTGTATATTGGCTCAAATTTTGTATGTTCATACTACATACAACAATATGTACCCCGCCATCCTTATTCGAAATGTTTACAACATACACATGTGTGTTTTGATCATCTGAAATTAGCCGGCTTCAGCCGCGTCAGTTCGCACGCACTGTTTGGTTTGGGGCTTGGGAGCTAAAAAAGGCAGCCTTTTGTTTCCGGTGGTGCCAACTAAAGGAAGCTTTAGCTCTAGCACTAGCATTGTCCCACTTAAAAAAAAACAAAAAACTGGCATGTAGGAGTACTAATCTCAAGGCAATTCAAAAATGATGTGCAACAATTCAAAGAAAATCTGGCATGTACTAATCTCAGGTTGGTACAAAATAATCACCACTTGTTCCTATCACCAGAGTAATGCAACTCTCTCTCGAAGATAAACAACAATGACGTACAACTAAACAGGTAAGCAAAACCCAATGAACCAACTGAAACTGAAGATATCTTCCATCACTCTCTCCGAAAGAGACGCACAGGTCTCAGTGTCATATGCAAACACAAACTGTTTCTGTTTTGCTATTAACTACCAAAAAAACTCAGTGTGTAGAGTAGAATTACAAGGATTCTTAGATCATGCATCAGCAGGTCATAACAGCAGGGGGGTTGACCCCAAACCTAATCAACCAAGGAAAGCGCTTCAATGTACAAAAACTTCCCTTTGTTTATATGATCTATCTAAGAGGAAACCATAGAAGCGTTTCAGTAATCAGTATAGTGTACTCAAGTTTGCTGCGTCTTTAGTATACTCATCTAATCTACAATCTATGTCTGGAGTGTATATGTATCGAATGGGAGTCGACAACATCTGAATGGGGAACTCCGTTCCAATCCACTTATACTTGCGCCACTGGCTGGTCAGGTCAGGCCTCCTTGTAGAAACAGTCGACATCTGGAAGAGCGGCAGCGATCTCGTCCCTGCAAAAGAGCTCACATGGTTCAGATCTGCTACTACTAGACTAACCAACAGGGGAAAGGCAACAAAAATGATATCGGAATGGGAAATAACAATGGCCGTTGCTACTCAAAATAATACAGAATATCAAATAACGCGCAACATCTGAAGTGCTCCGAGTCCAGCATAATTTGGTTTGTCGCAACCATGATAAGGTCAGCCATTCTAGGTAGCATAACAGCTCGATTAAGCATCCTAAAAGTCGATAGATGGTAGCTGAAAATGCCGACATAAATAGGAAAACTCACATATCTTGTTGTGCTGCGCCTCCATCCGGCACACCTGGCACTTCATCCGGAACACCTGGCACTTGTCCTGCCGCTCCATTCCCAGCAGGGTTCCTGTATTTGCAACACTTCCAGACTTGAGCATTCAGAGTTTGCAATTGCAAAAAAAGTCCCTTGTTCCTGAACTTGTAATATTTAAAATATATTGGGTAAGGTAAAAAAAAGAAGGAAAACTCACATATCTTGTTCTGCTGCGTCTCCATCCAGCACACCTAGCACGTCATCTGGCACTGCAACCGGGGCATTTGGCACATGTCCTAGCCCTCCACCCGGGCCATTCAGCCCATGATTCCCAGCAGGGTTCCTGTATTTGCAACACTTCCAGACTTGAGCAGAGTTCACAAATGCCAAAAAAAGTCCCTTATTCCTGAACTTGTAATGTTTAAAATACATTGATGAAGGTAAAAAAGAAGGAAAACTCAGATATCTTGTTGTGCTGCGTTTCCATCTGGCGCACCTGGTTCTTGTCCTGGCACTCCACCCAGGGCATTTGGTACATGTCCTGGCCCTCCATCCAGGCCATTCGGCCCATGATTCTCAGCAGGGTTCCTGTATTTGCAACATTTCCAGACTTGAGCATTCAGAGTTCACAAATGCAAAAAAACAAGGTCCCTTATTTCTGAACTTGTAACATTTAAAAATATATTGAGTAAGGTACGGCCTAACTAAATCAGTGCTCCAAAAATAAACTAATTCCATGAATTGAATTAATGAACGACAGGGACACTTTATAAGTACCCCAAAATACAAAATAAACGAAACCAACATAACCTAAATGAAGCATAAAATCAAACCAGCAGCTTACGGAGAGAATAAAGGCTAGTGATGTTTACAGAATATGGTATAGGCCACCTAGATACACAAAAAAAAATTCAAATCAGTAGCCTAATGTGTAGCCATGTCACTAGGAAGCAAATGACAACAACAAAGCTTGGAAATCAAATTCCGGGACTGACATCCTAAATGGATAATGATGCTGGAAAAGGAGACTAGTCCACAAAGTCAAACAAAAGAGAAGTCGATAACAATCAGCAACTGACTAGTCTGAGAAATGCCAAAAATAAAGTAAGTCATAAGAGCTTAGAAAAATGTCATGCGACATTTCCACCATAGCTAACAGTAAAGATTCTGTATGTGTGAATAGCACACATGAGATACTGTTTTAACAGAAATTATAGATCTACGTTTACACTATATGATAGGATAACGTAAAAGGAAGCAAAATAAAGCAACCATGTACTAAATCGTTACCACAGATAATAGGGGATATAGCGGTCCACGTGAAGTCTTGCTCCGGAGATGAAGTGAGGGACCTCAGGATTCCAGTTTGATAAAAGCAGCCTCACTGTCCCAGGGAGCATGAATCTCACAAAACCATATGACCTTCCATGCGGAATAGTCACAGACACGACAGACCCGAAATTGCTGGAACAAACATCATAAATAATATTAACATAATGACATAGCACTTGGGATCTTTATTTAAAGGGCCTGAACGCTTAAGTTACAAGACGATACCTGAAATACGAATGAACCTTTGATTCAGTGCATATTTCTCTACTTTGAGCAGAGAAGGTGATATAAATCCGAGTTTCACTATTGAAATCCATCACATTTGGATTGTAGGCTGGTGGAGCAACCTCCAACAGGATTACATACCATTGAAAGCTGTTTTGAAACATCAATGGTTATAAATCAGAACGTCTAGAAAAAGAAAAGAGATGTGTCTCAATTTTTTTCAGAAAGGTAAAGAGATGTGTCTCATTGCTAATTTAAAGTGAACAAAACAGACAACTAAAAGAGAGATATTAGAAATGAGACCACAGAAAACCTGTCATGAAACAAATAAATCGTATGAAGACGCCAGAGCAAACTCAGCAGGTGATCAGGATTCCCATCCTGTCCGTCTTGCAGAAGCTTTATGTGCAACTCAGAGCAATTCCGTGGCAAATCCACTACTGGGACAGGAAAACCATGCATCATATGCAGAAATACCCTGATTTGGATCTCTATCCTCCCAAATGAGTCAAGTCCATGAGAGAACCAACAGTCTGAACCATACTTGCAAGATCCATCAATCATGTAGAAGCGGCAAGGCTGGTCAGACCTCCAAACCATTTTCTGTTTCCTGTGCCACAGAGAACATCAAGGAAAATAAAAAAATAATAAATTGGTGTCATAAATAATTAATATCACGGAAACCATTCTCTGTTTCCTGTGCCACAGTAAGAAACAATGGCATGTATTCACCAGAATTTCACGTTGCCCATTTTGCACTTCAAAAAACTGAAGAACAAAAATCCAACCAGAGACCACTAGAACGTACTCCATATATTATACCATATAAACTGGCAATCAACAGAAAATATAGGGTAAAGTAGCATATCCACGACCAAGAACCAGCCAAGAACCTCCAGAATTCCATCAAAATCAATATTGATGCACCAGCTAATCCACATTTGACCCCGCAAGAACTCATCAAGCTAAGAAAACCTGGAATCATGCTTCTGTGCCCCTAAAGCGTTAATGTACACACAGGCGGGAGCAGAAAGAAGGAAGGTAACGTATTCGTGACCACGAACTATTCTAGTCCCCAAATCGCCTCCAGAAGTCAACCAAAATTGGTACGTTGTATTTGATATACTCCACAAATTAACCCCGCAACAAATCATCAAGCCAAAAAAACTTGGGATCGTGCTTTTTGTGCCCCTAATCCTAATGTCCAAAACTCT